ATCTTCTATATATATAAAATAAGTCGGGTTTTCCTTCCTGACGAAATAACTCCAGAACGCACGAACCGATTTCAACAATTTTGCATTCGTTGGAAAGGTCTCGGGCTCCGCAAGGTTTATAGCTAAGAAAATTAGTTGTGCATGGCATCGTGCCCCAATGCAAATTGCTGGAACTTCACGCACCGTAATTAGAAATTCGAGCAATGACATTAGTGAGAATTATCAGAATTATGCTTGGTTAAGTCAACGAGCAATTCTTGCCGCCAAGAAATATGATGTACACGCACTGAATTTCACCATTCAATCAAAAATTGCTGGCGATTTGGTGACATACCAATGATTCCGACTGGTCTTCCGTTTGACTTCAAACGATTTCAATTTCCAGGTCGCCTTGCGTTCGCAATAACAAGTCGCAAGGCCAATCGCTTAATGCTTGCGGGATAAATTTCAAATAGATTATTTAGAAAATCATTGTTTTTCACATGGGCAGTTATACGTTGCCTGTTCACGAGTTGGAAAACCATCCGCTTTGTTTGTGTTAACGTCAGACCATAAAACAAAAAATGTGGTTTACCAAAGAGCACTTCAATGAAACGGATAATTTACGGATTCACTTTCATTTACTTAGAGAAGTTCGACTAAAAAACACTTCATTTTTGTAATGTAAATAAATTCATTACTGTTGTGTAATAAAATCAAATTTTTCCTTTTCAAATATAAAACAAACAAAAAGTTTTTTCATCTTTCTCACGAAACCATCTGGTGGCGAAACGGAATTCGTCGGGTTAGTAGACTAATAAAAGACTTATGCAAATTATTGTTTGGTTTTGTGCATTAGTATTTGTTTCTTTTTTTTATAATTACAATATTTATTACCACTGTTAATAATTTAACATCTAGTAATAATAATAAATATAACATAAATTTAAATAAATAAGAGTACAAAGGATAGAATTTACATTAAAATGATATCCGTAGTATGATGATTTAATAGACAATAAGAGCAAATAATAATAAAATTACAATTAATAAATAAAATAAATAAAATTTCTGTATAATAAAATAATACTAGAAAAACAATAAAGTTGAATTAAAGCAATAAGTGATAAATAATAAAAAAAGAGTGCGCGCAAGGATTACACGCGATTGAAGTAAAACCTATTTGCTACTGTACATAGTAGCAAATTCAAGTTAAGTAAAAATAAATACATCATATAACAATTTTGAATAATGTTTATTAGTAATATGGTAACACTCGTGATGTACGCATTTATTAGTGTCGTGAATCGTTATACACATTTATATAATGATAAATTATAAATTATATATTTATGATTGCATTAAAAATATGTATAATATTTACAAACGATAATGTAATCAAGGTCATACTTGAAATATGACATGATCGGTTTAAAGTAATTGCTGATTAATAAATTCTATAATATTCGTTCACACAGTGGATTATGTTGAACAACGCCTAAACAAATATTGTTTTTGCAAATTAACTCATCCTGTAACAATTGTGTTTGAAGAACTTCATGTAATTAAAATTAGCATACCATCATTTACTGTTTGTATTTTTTTTTACTTTTTCGATGTCGGTATAATCTCATTCTTTGAACAGCTGTAATATGTGTCTTGCCTAAAAAATTGAAGCCATACTTTTATATTTGTTTTATTTATCAATCCCTGCGCGTAGCTTGATCTATGGATCATTTGCTTTTTTATGTGAACGTTAATGCAATGATCATCATCAATATTACGAGGTAATAAATTAACCATATTATTAATGTCAACAGGCACATTTATAATTTGGCCAAACATTCCAAATTGTCCATTTGCATGTCGCAATCGTCTAATTTGCATGAAACACAACCTAGGTGAAATTAACAATCTTTCAGATACAGTATCTAGTTTAGGTAGATAATTTGGTATGGGTGGAAAAAACAAACCCGTCAAATTTACACAATAGTGGGAATTTTACCCGAATTTAATGTCTTTCGACAAGTTTGACATCCAACCTGATTATTTGAATTAATATTCAGAAAACCAGTATTAAGAATTTGTTTTTGAGCTTTATTTAATATTTCTAAGTCAATTTGAGACCAAAGTCTATCACACACAAAACATACATAGCCAAAAGCTATCATTTGTAAATTGTTTTTCAAACAATTTTCGTGCATTCCTAAACAAATTGAAGGGTTTATATGGAAGTTTACTTCATTTGACTCTTGCAAAAGATCTTGTCACATTATTAGTCACAATATATGCAGAATCATTAATTTGCAATTGACGTGATGTAGTTGTTGTATCAGAAAAAGTTACAGCAGTACTTTCATCTAAAAAGATAACAGAATAATATGTTTAAATGTGAATAATTTTAGGAGTCAAAAAGATTCTTTCTTATTAACATCTAAAGTGATATCTGGCTCAATATTTTTTAATCAATTGGCAAAAACTGACTGGCGATACAGTTTCATTCTTTGAGCAACTGTAGTATCTGTCTTGCCTATAAAAATAAAAATAAAATTTTCCATTTTAGTAATAACCTCAAACGTATATAGTAACCTCGAAAAACTCGAACAATACAAATTATATCAATATGCTTACATTTCTTACGCAGCGCAGATTTTTCCTTTGTTTCATTATTTATTTGCGATCATTTGCACTACAGTTATTTATGGGGGACGGAATAAAATATTCTTCCGATCCTGACATTTTTATTAACTCACGAATTATACTGCTAACCCATGTCGCGCCTAAAGAAGTTTTACTAAAAAAAATGTTTAGAGACTACGAGCTAAATACAAAACTCAAGTGAAAGTCACCACATTTTTTTTGCTTTTGACATATGATTTGACATTTGATGTATTTTTGGTTTTACTCGCAGACTAGATCGATCACTTCAGCTTGGTGTAACAATTTCCGTTACATTTGTACGGATTTACACCCATGTCGCGCCTAAAGAAGTTTTACTTCAATAAATATAACAAAATAACAATTTGTTTCTGTTGCAGGAAAGGAACAGTCGCTACTGAGATCTGCCTATGAACTCCTAGTAAGAGCAAGCAAATTAAAAATACAATGCGACGAGGTACTTTCAATCAACCAATACAATTCATCATCAATTTTTCCAAAATGATTCCATTTTTTTTTAGGTCTGTTACAGGGTGATGATGCAATTGTGCGGTGTCCATTCAGTACCAGTATTAGCAGTGCGTCTCTTATTTTTAATGAAGAGATCAGGACTGCAACCGAATGCTCTGACTTATGGTTTTTACAATCGTTGTGTACTCGAAGCTGCCTGGCCTTTGGACAGTCCCAGTTCGAGTCAACTTTTGTGGAACAGACTGAAGAATGCTGTTTTGGGGGCTGCCAGATTTAAGAGGGCTGGCAGGAGATACGCAGCAAGGAGGTAAGGGAAATATATAATGTTTATATTCAATCAGTTATCAATCAGTATGAAAAATGACTGCATTATTACAAAGGATATTTCTAGTGTTTTCAATTAAATAAAGATAAAATAATAAAGTATTTAATCCAAAAAATAAAATAAAGCTCACAAGTGAATCTTATCACTTAGGATGTGTGCATATTTTGTATAAACTTGTTTAACTTTGTAGGATGTCTGCTAATGCTGATGATATCAGCACTAGTTTATTGGACATTGTCGATGGAGCATCTCGAACGAGTTTGGAATCAGGCCATTCACACACTGATCTCATGGTATGTTTTTATTTTATATTTATATATATATATATATATATATATATATATATAATATATATATATATAAATATATAAATATATATATATATATATAAATATATATATATATATATATATATATCTATATATATATAAATCTCGTGTCACGATGTTGGTTCGCGATGGACGCCCAAACTACTGAACCGATTTTAAATTTTATTGGCTCATCGTGTGCATATATATCCAACTTAGGTTATAGGAAATTTTGAAAAGTAAATTTAAAATATGCATATGTAATTTTTATAAATTTCTAAAAATTTTGACAGAAAATGACCAAAAAAAAACAAAACACTAAAATGACAAATGTCAAAGTTTAAGGAAATTTCGATATATAAATTTAAAAACAAAAATTGACATTTCAAAAAATAAAATTCAAAAACATGTACATATATAGAAATATCCAACATTTAAATCCAAATTTGATGAAATGCTATATTCAAAATCACTGTTTATAGTTTTAAATCTAATTAAAAAGCAATGCTTAAAAATTTGAATAAATGTTGACATGTAAAAAAATTAAATGTCGTCAGTATTTATGAAAATAATTATATAAATAGAATTACGATTTAGATTTAATTGATTAGCTTACCAAATTATTTCGGAAACCAAAACTTTATCAAAACATTATAGATCAGAGATCACAATAAAAAAGCGGCATATTGAATTTAAAATTAATCATAAACAAAAGTTTGACATTTCACAAAAAAATGTTTAACGACTTACTCCAATAAGAAGCAAATAAATTAATTATTCCAAGTTATGTTATAGGCAATATTACTAAGCAAATTATAGATACAAAATATTATTGTGAAATAAATATTATCATATTATATTAATTTTGGACCAAGAAGGAAATATTTCGACATTTATAAATTTAGTGCATATTGAATATATGAAATTGACATTCACTATTTTTCAATTAAATTCAAATGTAAAAAATTAAATATTTATATAAAAATTGTATATTTAGATAAAGATACTGCGTTGATTTAGACTAAAATTTAATTTATTCTTTAATTAAAAAAAATTAAAACAAAATCAAAATAAACAAAACACTATGATGGAATTATTTATCGGAGTGTAAAGAAATTTGTGTAATTAAAATATAATATTATTATTAATATATCAGTTAAGATATATTTTGATTGTCATCGCAAATGCTAATCTTACAGGAAATTGTAACCTCTTAAATGGAATAGTACAATCTGAAGGTATCATTGGAATCTGACAAAAACAAACTAGACAAACTAAATATTATATCATATTATATTAAATTTTGACCGAGAAGAAATTTTTTGACAGTTATAATTAATTTGAAATAAAATGCAAATGTCGAAAATCAGATCTTTATGTAAAAAAATATTTATTTCCACAATATTCCTGTGTTGATTTAGCCAAACTTATGAATTTAACAATTATATAATTATTCATTGATGACTTGAAATATTTATTAATTTATTAACAAATAAATAATATTTGAAAGAAAATTTTATTGACATATGTGACATGACAAAAGTATAATAAACAAAAAACTATGATGCGAGTGAATTAATTTTTGAAGTATGAAATGTCAAATAATTTTGAAAATTATAACAAGTTTTTAACTATTTGTTAAAGAATCAGGGTCTAAATCTATTAAATATTTGATTTTTGGCACTTTTATTAATTTTTTATCAATTTAGGCATATTTTTTATGGCAAAACAACGTTTGCCGGGTTAGCTAGTATATATATATATATATATATATATATATATTTGTAATATTTTTGCAGCCCAACCGTCGAATTAAAAAAAAGATTAAATAACAAAATTATTTATTCCATTAAACGTTTCGACACTTGATGTGTCTCATCATTCAGTAATCTAAAAAACATATTACATAAATACAAAGTTGATGATAAATATAAATATATAAAAAAGGAGGAAATTATACATACCAAACCAGGAAAAGCAACAGAAAAAATTAATTGTGATGTAAAATTTATTGAACACTAAATTTGTGTAAAATAATAATATACTGTTATATTAACAAACGAGAAAATGAAGGAGCACATATTACCCTCCTATATTTAATGTTATTGATAGCGGTGCATTGTGGACACTGATCGAGGTTACAACGCAAGTGTAGTAACGCACGTTTAATGGAATGAATAATTTTGTTATTTAATCTTTTTTCAATTCGACGATTGGGCTGCAAAAATATTACAAATATATAATTACATTATTATTTATAGACAGCACAAAATTTAGACTACACGGCCTTTGACAAGCTCAAAAATCGTTGCAGTACAATTGTGAGATCTGGTAACACTCCTGATGCACTGACATCAGAAAATGTTTTGTCGAGTGCAGGATTACTAATGTCAGGTAATTATGAAAAATATATTTAGTTGTGATTCATAAAAACTTTAGGCTTTTGGTGATTTAACTACTTAACACAGTACTGATAGATAATAACAACATAGCAGTTGATCAAATTAAATCTATTAAATTATTAACCTTAGCTCTTTTCCCTTCAGCTAATACAGAAAAGCCGCAAAGAGTAAATTCAGCTTCTTCACCACCTCCCACACCGACAGCAAATCATTTTAAAGGCGAAAAGAATCCAAGCAAAGTTTTCACGAGGGCCGAAAGTTTTGCCAGTGATGCTCAGATTGTAGATAAACTGCAGAGAATGCAACTTGGAGGTAAAAAGAATCGATTTAGATAAAACATCGCAAAACCCAATTTTTTAATGAAAGAAATGTTTTGTTGATAGAGTTTTTGGTTTTAAGCACTGTTGTTCAGTTTATGATGATCTAGATATAATTTTTAAGTATACAGTAGAACTCCAATTATCCGAACTCCAATCATCCGAACTCCAATTATCCGAACTCCGACTATCCGAATCGCCGATTATCCGAATCACTTTCAGAAAAAAAATTGACCAAAAAAAGTCTAAGTGCGCTATTATTCTTCCACCAGCAAAGCCAGTGTAGGCACATTGTTTGTTTTGATTTGACGGAGATGTTTACAAAACAATGATTTTTATTTCTAAACTTGTACACAAGTACATTTTATTTATATTTAAAACATGTGAAAATGTCATGTTTCTTTCATTTAATTCAATAAAAAAATAGTGCAATATTAAAACGTAACTTTTTTTCTTTCCAATGGCAATTTTAAAAACAAACTCCGATTATCCGAATATTTGATTATCCGAATCTACTGTACTTTATTTAATTGTTTTTTGAAGTCCATTGGCTAATGTTTTTAGGTGGATTTATAATAATATTATTTTAGGTGGAGATACTGTGAATAGTAAACGAATTTTGGATTTCTCAGAGGCAAATTCAACAGAAGAGTTGGACAAAACCGATGATATTAAAACCTCACCAACAAAGTAAGTGCGTCAACTGATTTTTATCAAACAACTGTTAAAGAATCCTATTTTATTAACTTCCCGTAGGGTAGTTATAGTAATCGCAAAAAAACGAAAATGAAAATTTTTATATATCTTTACGTTTCAAAAGTTTCTGAACATCTTGGCATACATCAGAAAAAATGGCTGTGTGTGTGTTTTATACGTCCGCATTTTTTCGTCCACGTTTTCGGGCGCACGGATCAACCGATTTGAATGGTTAAAAAAACATTCGATTCCTATTAATGGGGAGATGTGCTGATTAGTTTTTGGCAAAGGCAGGTCCAACCGTTACGGAGATATGGAGCAAAGAGGGCAGAAAATAGAAAGCGAGTTTTTTAGAGAACGGATCATCCTATTTGTATGATCCAGAAAACATTCAGTTCGTAATGACGGAAAAATGTAATTATTAGTTTTTGGCAATAGTAGGTCCAGCGGTTTCGGAGATACAGAGCTAAATGTTGAAAAAATGGCAGTTTTTGAGAGAACTAAGCGCCCGATTTAAATGATTCAAAGAACTTTCTGCTTGTTTCAACAAAATAATTGCTTTTGTTGTTTTTAATTTTTGTTTCTAATTTTTTTTTCAAAAAATATTTTTGTAATTTTGGACTAAAAATTGAAAAAATCACACAGGCTAAGCACAGTCTAAGCGCCACTCTGGTACAAATGTCTTAACAACTGCGTTTAGACTGTTAATGTATGGAGCACTTTTCCAATTTTGTGAAAATGAAATGAAATTGAAAAATGTGAAAATGCCGCCAAGCTAACCACAGTATAAGTGAAAATGTCGCACAGAATTATTTGCAAATGCGTTTAGACTGTGACTATACGGCAGCACTTTTTCAATTTTGTGCAAATTAGGCAACTATTTTTTTTTATTTGAAATTGAACTCGAAATGAAATGACGATTGTTAATGTTCTGGAATTAAATTGATTTATTAACTTCCCGTAGGGTAAGTTATTGTAATGGGCCGAAAATCGGAATTGAAAATTTTAACATTTCTCGACGTTTTGAAGGTTTCTGAACGTTTTGGCATACCTCAGAAAAAATGGATGTGTGTGTGTGTATGTGTGTGTGTGTGTGTATGCTCGTATGTATGTATGTATGTATGTATGGATACAAATTTCCAGTCACGTTTTAGGGCGCACGGATCAACCGATTTGAATGGTTCAAAAAACATTCGATTCCTATTGATAGGGAAAAGAGCTGATTAGTTTTTGGCAAAGGCAGGTCCAGCCGTTTCGGAGATACGGAGCAAAGAGTGCAGAAAATAGAAATCGAATTTTTGAGAGAACGGAGTATCCGATTTGAATGATCTAAAAAACATTCACTTAGTAATGATTGGGAGAAGTGCTTATTAGTTTTTGGCAAAGGCAGGCCCAGCCATTTCGAAGATACGGAGCTAAATATGTAAAAAATGGCAGTTTTTGAGAGAATTAAGCGTCCGATTTTAATGATTCACAGAACTTTCTGCTTGTCTTAACAAAATAATTGATTTTGGGAAAAAAAAAATTGTTCCATTTTTTTTTAGTTTTTTGTATTAGGTTGCCAAATATCTCCCTTCCGCCTTTTTGTATCATAAACCAATAGCAAAAAAAGCGGAAGGGAGATATTTGACAACCGATTTTCAGATTATTATTTTTAATTCTGACTATAGTTCTAATATACTTTACAAATAATTTCAACTCTGCAATTCAGTTTATATAATTCTCATAAATAATAGACAATGTTACGATATTTATAATAATCTATTAGAAAACATTCAGTATTCCTCGAACATTTTGTTACGGTACGGGAAGTTCCAGCAATTTGCCTTAAGGCACGATGCCATAATTGCCTCAAGACAGAATTCCTCTTACAGCTAGTTTATGATTTACATTTGATTTGCTCAGATGTGACAAGATGCAAAAATAATGAAAGTTACAGTATTTGTAATAATATATTTGAAAACATTTAAAATTTCTCGAATTACGGTACGGGAATTTCCAGCAATTTGCCGTAAGGCACGATGCCATGCGCCCCGACTAGTTTTATTATTATTATTACCGTAAAAATCTTACCATCAATCTTCTCCCCTCAGGACTTCGCCCAGGACTCCAGTAACATCAAACGACCCCCTAGGAGCCCTAGACAGGCCACCAACACCAGAACCAGCCCCAGTCTTACCCGAGAATGTTGTTTTAACACAAAATAACAATGAACTGCTATCGGATACCCCTCAGTTGTTCAAAGGCCAAAGGAGTGCAACATTTGACGAATCCTTACATTTAGGGTAAGGGAGTAAAATATATATTATATAATATGAATAGATTGTACTAATATTAGATTAAGCATGTGCGTAGGTATTAAGTTTAATTTCATTTTTAAAGAAAAAGTTTGCACAGGAGTGAAACGGTGCCTGCCAATTCGGTGACATCAAGCTTGGCCAGTTTAGGGAATTCCTTGAAACTCAGCTTCGGGTAAGTGAAATAAATGAATAAATGAATATATATATATATATATATATATATATATATATAGATACATACATATATATATATATATATATATATATATATATATAAATATATATTAACAAAGTCTAATAATCGGGCATAACATCAATAAAAAACATGAATTTTTTTTAAAAATTTGTTTAAATCCATACGTTTCGGCTATAATCCTAGCCTTCATTCAGTGGAAACTAAAATTAAAATTAAGAACTAAAACAATTGAATTAGAGTGAAAAGAAAAAATAAAATAGTAAATAGTACTTACAATTAGCTAATATTAGTGTTAAATGGAAAAATTTTAATAATCCATGGTATCAGGATATGGTAATGCACTACACTATGTATTATAAACATTAAACTTGTAAATACACAATATTTTCACAAAATACTAATTTAAAAAATCACAAATGGATAGTGTGTTGTTCGTAGACTGGTTGAAAATATAATGGAGAAAGGACATTTTAAAAAATATTTTTTACCAAGATTCTAACACATGTGTGGAACGAATTGCGAATCCTTTGCGCGTCGTTTTTATTGTTTTGTGAGAAATTTGGAAATACTATCTGAATAAAAGAGATATGTGTCGCACAGCGTGTTAAATTCATTCCGTTTATTTATTGTTTTATTGCTGTGAATAGTTAAAAAAGATTCTTCTATAATTCTTCGTTTGAATAAATTTTGTTCGAATTGTAGTACAGTCGGGTTAGAAAAGTCTATATTGTGTTTTAAAGTATTAATATGCTCTGCTATCATAGTTTTAAATTGATTCGGATTTTTTGAATTATTTTTATGTTGTTGTAAGAGTTTAATTAAGTTCTGGCTTGTTTCTCCTATGTAAATTAAATTACAATCTAGACAATTAATTTGATAGATGAGATTTCTAAGTCGTTCGATATTGAAAGGGGTTTTTGTTTTGGTAAAAATAGTACTAGTCGTTGTACTAAAATTGTTTACAAGTCGGAGTCCAGATTTATAAAAAAGTTTTTTCCAAGGAACATACAATTCTTTAATGTATGGCAAAATTTGTATATATATATATATATATATATATATATATATAATATATAATATATATCTATAGATATATTATATATAAGAATTTTATGATATGAGTGGAACGAATATTAATTGTTTAATATGAACAAAACAGCACTCAGATTTGTTTAACACAACTTTATTTATGATTACAGACGTTTCGAGACCATGGTGTGTCTCATCTTCAGTGTAATTTCAAAAACAGTTACTTATATACTACACATTCTTTAATAATTTATTTAAATTTCATTTAATTTTTGGTATACAAAAAACACCAACTATTCCTTGCAATGCTTGACACAGTACTAAAGAAACATATAACACTTACAGAAATATTCTAAACAAATTTGAAGTACTTATATAGATGGAGACAGAGAGGGTATCATTATAATGTAAACAAAAGGAGTGCTATCGCATACAAAAATCGATAAAAATGAAAAAACAAATTAATTTATTGAAAAGAATAAGATAAATGAAAAAATTTATAAATTATTAATGATGTTTATATAAGTGTCATGTAAAATATTTGTGTCGGTTCTTAGATTTATGCTATTGTTAGTCCGAACTATTAACATTGATTCTGCCATGCTCCGTTTAATCAAACCAGAATCAATGTTAATAGTTCGGACTAACAATAGCATAAATCTAAGAACCGACACAAATATCTTACATGACACTTATATAAACATCATTAATAATTTATAAATTTTTTCATTTATCTTATTCTTTTCAATAAATTAATTTGTTTTTTCATTTTTATCGATTTTTGTATGCGATAGCACTCCTTTTGTTTACATTATAATGATACCCATTCCGTCTCCATCTAGATAAGTACTTCAAATTTGTTTAGAATATTTCTGTAAGTGTTATATGTTTCTTTAGTACTGTGTCAAGCATTGCAAGGAATAGTTGGTGTTTTTTGTATACCAAAAATTAAATGAAATTTAAATAAATTATTAAAGAATGTGTAGTATATAAGTAACTGTTTTTGAAATTACACTGAAGATGAGACACACCATGGTCTCGAAACGTCTGTAATCATAAAATAAAGTTGTGTTAAACAAATCTGAGTGCTGTTTTGTTCATATTAAACAATTAATATATATATATATATATATATATATATATATATATATATGCCGTTTATTAATTTATGAGGCTGCCAATCTATAATATGCCAAGAGTGCATTATAATTACAGCATGATTTGTGTGATTTGCTGGCACATAATTTTAATATAATATAGTATAATAAGTTGATCATTTTGCATGTACATTAATACTCAAATAATAAGAGTATCGTAATACATCACTCAATAATAATCTTTTTAAATTAACTAAATTAACTTTTCAAAGGAGAATTTTATGTTTGGCACCAGAATTCAAAATTTTTTAGTATTCTAAGTGATGTATTACTTTACTCTAGGGAATGCAATACCAATACCGATGGAAAATTTCAATAACGGTATTTCGGTAATTTTTCCTTTTAAAACCGGAATACCGGTAAATTACCGGTATTTTTATTATCTTAAACAAACGTAAACAAAATTTAAAGTTACTAGTACAAATATAAAAAAAATGTATGAACAACTACAACTATATTCAACTAAACAATAAAATAAAACAATAAGTTTAATTTTTTAAATAATAATTTACCAAAAGTATATGCAATTTAATTAATTCATTATCACTATCGAGTATATTAAATACTTTTCACCAAAAACAAACTTATGAGTAAGAAAGACCGAAAAATCATAAAAGATCATATTACATTATTATAATAAACTGTATTGTCTGTATCCGATGTGTTAAATTAGCATAATCTCCAATATTTTAAAAAAATAATTTTTCTACACTAATTTAAGATCGGATTTTTTGTCGAGATAAATAATAAGTTACTATAATTGTTGAATATTGTTATTTAAAACAATGTAATGCTTCTATAGTATTTTCAAACTTTGAAACGTTTCCGAAATATATTTTATAATTGTAATAAGAAGCAAAAAATATTTAGTAATTATCATAATTATTATGTATAAAGTTAGAAAAAAATAAAGATTACGCAGGGGTAATCTGTATGATATAAAATATTTTGGCGCAAATATCACTTAAAAAACCGTTACATTTTTACAAAAGGTGAAACAAACATCATTATCTATCAGTCCAATTCTATTTATTGTAACACGATATGAAGTGATTGGGAAAGCAATAAATATTCAGTTTAATGACGAGTTGAAATAATATTTGACATTTGTTTATCTTATAGAATCACTTGAAGATATAGCTGTTTATGCGATTCTGGAATATAAAGATAAATTTGTTCCGAGAAATTTAAACTTTAGGGTATTATGTATCAAATAGTGCTTATGTAAAAATACCGAAAATACCGGTATTTTTGGAATAAAAACCGGTAAAAATACCGCCGAAAAATCGGGCGGTTTATCGGTAATTCGGTATACCGGTATACCGGTATTGCATTCCCTACTTTGCTCTATAGCTTTATGATAAACATGTGTACATTACAATTAATTTATTTATTTTCTAACATCACCAATATATTTTCTTGTGTTTTATTTTATTCCTCGCACACAGTCGCTATAGTCCTGCCCGCATGTCTTTGCGAAAATCCGACTTAAAACTGCCACAGCATATCATTGAGAATGCCATCACCAGCATCAGGTAATATCGATGGATACACTTTTTGTATCCATACACTCATTGCACGATACCAATCATTCCAACTAAATCCGACAACCACAAATTAATGTTTTCTGATTATTTTTCTCAGTCCTAGTTTGACCAGCAAAAAGTCCAACGAACTGATACAAGGTGGTATCAGTACGATAAAGAGTGCAGCCTCTACAGTTGTGAAAAAACTTGACGAGATCAAAGAGGCCATGTCCAATAACACAACACCGGTTAAAGTTTTTGATAGAGATGATGGAGAATCTTGTGATGGATCTACTAGTGGACTCGAAGGTAAATGATACATACATAAATGATACATACTCCGATGTTGAGTATGTCCGATTTTATAAGATGGGATTGTATTTTTTTTGTATTTTAGCAGGTGAGACGAGAGTACGTAGAGTATCAAGCGAGTTTGATGAATCTCGAAAAGGTAGCACCTTGAATTTATGGGATTGTCAACCGAGCCAACAGTATTCGCATTCGTATCCAATTTTGCCTGATAATTTGTACCCGCCGATAAATGAGGTAAGTTTATGTGCATTTATATATATGTATATATATATATATATATATATATTTATATGCAAGAGTTATTGTCAAAGTTTATAGATTTATAATACCAATTTTCAATATAACAACGTACCAAGATATTGTAACTATATTAAGAACTAGTGGGGTGGGTGGCATCGTGCTTTAAGGCAAATTGCTGGAACTTCCCGTACCGTAACGAAATGTTCGAGGAATACTGAATGTTTTCAAATAGATTATTATAAATATTGTAACATTGTCTAATATTTATAAGAATTATATAAACAGAATTGCAGAGTTGAAATTATTTGTTTAAAGTATATTAGAACTATAGTCAGAATTAAAAATAAAATCTGAATTATTTTCGATATACAAAAAATTAAAAAAAAAATGAAACAAATATTTTTTTTTACAAAATCAATCATTTTGTTAAGACAAGCAGAAAGTTCTTTGAATCAATTGAATCGGACGCTTAGTTCTCTCTAAAACTGCCATTTTTTGTACATTTAGCTCTGTATCTCCGAAATGGCTGGGCCTGCTTTTGCGAAAAACTAATAACCCCTTTTCCCAATCATTACTAATTGAAAGTTTTTTAGATCATTCAAATCGGATGCTCCGTTCTCTCAAAAACTCGATTTCTATTTTCTGCACTCTTTGCTCCTTATCTCCGTAACTGCTGAACCTGCCTTTGCCAAAAACTAATCAGCACATCTCCTTATCAATAGGAATCGAATGTTTTTTAAACCATTCAAATCGGTTGATCCGTACGCCCGAAAACGTGGGCGAAAATTTGTATCCATACATACATACACACACACACACATCAATTTTTTCTGAGGTATGCCAAAACGTTCAGAAACCTTCAAAACGTCGAGAAATGTAAAAATTTTCAATTCCGATTTTCGGCCCATTACAATAACTTACCCTACGGGAAGTTAATAATTTTATTAGTCTTTTAACGATATATGATAATATATACATGTTTTAACAAATTTTGAAAATATTTTGCAAAAACTGAAAAAATGTCCTCTACCTCGCAGCAGTCTATCCATATATATATATATATATATATATATATATATATATATATATATATATATATACATACTAACAAACCCGACGAACTCCGTTTCGCCACCAGATAATTTCGTGAGAAAGATAAAGTAATTTTTTGTTCGTTTTATATTTGAAAAGAAAAAAATTAATTTTATTGCACAACAGTAATGAATTTATTTCCATTACAAAAATGAAGTGTTTTTTAGTTGAACTTCTGTAAGTAAATGAAAGTGAATCCGCAAATTATCCGTTTCATTGAAGTGCTCTTTGGTAAACCACATTTTTTGTTGTTTAGTCTGACGTTAACATAAACAAAGCGGATGGTTTTCCAACTCGTGCACAGGCAACGTATAACTGCCAATGTGAAAAACAATGATTTTCTAAGTAATCTATTTGAGATTTACCCCGCAAACAATAAGCGATTGGCCTCCTTTGAAGTCAAACGGAAGACCAGTCGGAATCATTGGTATGTCACCAAATCGCCTGAAATTTTTGATTGAATGGTGAAATTCAATGCGTGTACATCATACTTCTTGGCGGCAAGAATTGCTCGTTGACTTAACCAAGCATAGTTCTGATAATTCTCACTAATGTCATTACACGAATTTTTACACGAACACGAATTACGGTGCGTGAAGTTCCAGCAATTTGCATTAAGGCACGATGCCATGCACCACTAATTTTCGAAATCGGTTCGTGCGTTCTGTAGTTATTTCGTCAGGAAGGAAAACTCGACTTATTTTTATATATATAGAAGATATATATATATATATATATATATAATTGTATATAACTTTTAATTGAATTGCGGACCATCTGAATTTTAATATTAAAAGCTAAAACTTTTAGAGAATTGTTTTTTATCAATTTGGAAGCATTTGAGCCCTTGGGAGCAAGGAAATTAGATAATGTCTATTATCATTATATTTTTAGATTTCTCAAGAACATGCAGACGCCGAAATAAGTCTGAGTTCCTGTTCCCAATGCCATAACTGCATGGCCATTCTCTACGATGAAGAGATTTTGGCAGGATGGACACCCGAAGACTCCAATCTCAACACCACGTGTAACAGTTGTCTTAAGCACACCGTTCCTCTGTTATCTATTAATATAAATGTAAGTTCTAAATGATATTTTGATATCTATCGATTTGTGAAGATGATTTATGTTTTTTTTTTGTTTTTCATAGATTTTAAGGCCAAGTACTAGAAAATCAGAGGTTTTGAGTGTGCCATATCTTAATCCGTTAGTACTTAGGAAGGAATTGGAGTCTATTTTGGGTAAGGAAATATATATAAGTATATATATATTATATATACTTACGTATATAATATACGAGGTCTGTTCAAAAAGTTTCCCGAATTTTCGTTTTTTCAAAAAAATATTTATTTATTCGTCTACATTAATGTGGTCCCCTTCAAAGTAGTCCCCCCCAGATATAATACACTTATGCCAGCGTTTTTTTCCAATTTTCGAAGCACCCTTGATATTCACTTTTTGATATGTCCTTGAGCACTCTCGGCGATTTTCTTCAATCGAGGAAAACCGCCGTCCTTTCATGGGTCTCTTCAACTTTGGGAATAGGAAAAAGTCACACGGAGCCATATCTGGTGAATTTTTGCACTTTGCAACACTTTATTTCATTTTTTACGCAAAATTTAATACAAATTCTTTGACTTTTCAATTCTTCCATTGTAAAAATCGCCGAGCTCAGAAAAACACGTCGAACCTTAGCGACTACCACAGACAAAGTAAACAGTGAATTTAGCTGAAAATTTCATCATACTTTAGGGGCATGTATACCAACACAATAAAAAAAAAATTTGACAATCAGACACTCCAGACCCGCGAAATTTAATTATTAGTAATTCCGGGTACTTTTTGAACACACCTCGTATATATATATATATATATATATATATATATATATATATATATTATAATGCGGTGGAATTCAATATATATTATAATGTTGGTTCACAATTTTCCACCAACACGTTACGCACACATTTTTCTTGTTGCACAAATTACAAAAGGACAACATGCCTCGTTTGGAAAAAGCATTTTTTATAAAAATTGTAATATTTATTTTTATTTATTTTACAATTACTTAAAATTTGTCATATAACTCGACGTTTATCAATTTGTGTTTCATAATTTTTTCGTGCAATTTTCGTGTGTTTTTAGCTTTTTTTTTAAATTTATTTGTATGGTGAGTTCTTCACATTTGTTTATGTCTATTTTTGTATTTTCGCTTTTATATACTTCACAATATATATTTGTTATAAAACAAATTTATGAATTATGCTTTCTTACATGTTTTTATTTATATTTTTCTGTAATATAATCATAACTATCATAAAGTTCATCATTTTGTATCTTTTAGCTCGTGAAGGCGACCTGTGTTTATCCTGTGAAAAATTCATTGAGGAGCATCCTATAATTTATTGGAATCTGTTGTGGATTTTTGAAAGGATAAATGTATCATCACATTTAATATCTCTTTTTGTAAGTAATTGCTTTTTTTAATGAATAAATATTTTGGCGTTGAAGGTAAAATAACCTAAAATTGAAATTTAAAATTTATGTTTTGAATATTTTGGCATACCTTAGAAAAAATTAGTCCTTGTCGCGGTCATATATAATATCAAAGTAATTTTTTCTAGTATTTAAGAGGAATCAATTCAGCCATTTACTATCTTTTGAAAAATGATAAGATCAACAATTTTCTGTCGTTTGCCAATAACCTCGCATTTTCGTAAAAATTTTTCGCTTTCATGTACACTTATTCTTTTTGATTGCGCAAAGTACTTAAGGTATTTTTAACTTCCCGAAGGAGAAGTTTATGTTTTCATCAAAAAATCCGATTCGCTAATTTTATGTTTTCTCGACGTTTCAAGCCATTCTGAATCGAATGAGACCAACATTTGGAACAAAAGCATGTGTGTGTCTGTGTGAACAGATGTTTTGCCGTAAATCGACGTTTTCTCGAAAACGGCTGGGACGATTTCAAAAATTTTAAAAGCCATTCGATGTATCTCGACGAGGACTATCGTTTGTCAGTTTTGAACGATCGGCCGAGACGTTTCTTTTAAATAGCAGAAAAGTGAAAAATTATTCGTCCACGTTTTAGCCCGCAATTCTGAACCGATTATGAAAATTCAAAAACCGTTCGAAAGATTTTGATTGGGAATCGTGCTGATTAGTTTTTGGTAAAGATCGACCGGGCCGTTTTCTTGTAATAAAGTGTTAAAAATATTTTTTTCGACGATTTTTATTATTATTTTTTGGACGGTAGATACCATATTCTTCTAGTTCATACTAAAATATTACGACCCTACGACAACTCGTTTAGCTTTAAAAATTCGTCAAAGTTTGCAAAAATTGGTATCGTTTTCTTGGCATTTATCAAAATTAGAACTTACATCGACGTTTGCTCAAAAACGCCTGAACCGATTTCAGAAATTTAAAAGCCATTTGATGTATTTCGATGAGGATTATTGTTTGTTAGTTTTGTGCGACGATCTGCCAAGCCGTTTCTTTGTAATTTGAAAAAAAGTGTTAAACTTTTCGTTTACATTTAAGCTCATCCTACCGAACCGATTTTGAAAAATTAAAAACTCTTCGAAAGATATTAGTTGGGAATGGTACTGCTGATTAGTTTTAGGTGACAATCTACCGAGTCGTTTTCTTGTAATTAACTGTTGAAAAAAAGTGTTAAACTTTTCGTCCACATTTAAGCTCATCCTACCGAACCGATTTTAAAAAATTAAAAACTGTTTGAAAGATATTAGTTGGGAATGGTACTGATTAATTTTAGGTGAAAATTTACTGAGCCGTTTTCTTGTAATAAACTTTTGAAAAAAAAATTCAAGCCGATTTTCAAGGAACTTTTTTTGGCGATGTTTATCATGGTCTTATAGAACTTACTGTAATATTACGCCCTTACGACAAGTAGTTTAATTTTGAAAATTCGTCAAACTTTGCTAAAATTATTATCGTTTTTTTTTAAAGTAGGATTGATGAAGTATATTATTTACACATTTTTTTTGATTAACCACTTAACGGTCGGGTTTTTTTTCGTGAAAAGTGATCTAAAAGAGCAGGTTTTTTTATTGCGGATTTTAAAAGTTTAATTGATGTAATATGTGTTTCTGATAACATTTTCTTTTTATTTATTTTATTTTTGTTTAAAATTAACAATATACATTATGATACTGATGACCGCTTTGATGGTTTTTGGACTATCTTTATGCTTAAGGTATTCTTTGGGTTTATGCTTTATGTGCTAATGTCCTAAAGAGGACGAAACGACTTATTTTTGAATTGTTTTCTTGAAAATTAGCATCTCAGTATGTTCTTACTACACATAATCGAAAGAGTCACTAGTCGATGTTTTCCTCATGTTGTTTTAAGGACCTATTTATTGATGTTCGTAATTCTTTCAATTAAAATCATTTAACTTATTTATATTTGTTTATCTATGGTTCTTTCCCTATATATTACTTTGACCGTACTATATGGAAAAAATGGTTTTTGTAATAGGCTGCATTTTTAAGTCAATTATTTACTCATATCGGGAAGTTCATGTAACTTGCCTCAAGGCTAAATACCAAACCAACTAGTTTGAAATTGAATTCGAAATGAAATGACGATTGTTCATTATGATTTACATTTGATTTGCTCAGATATAACAAACAAGATAGTAAAAATAATGAAAGTTACAGTATTTGTAATAATCTATTTGAAACCATTCAGTATTCCTCGAACATTTCATTATGGTACGTTAAGTTCAGTTTGGTAATATTCAATATCCAGCAATTTGCCTTAAGGCACGATGCCACACACCCCACTAGTTTGAAATTGAATTCGAAATGAAATGACAATTGTTCATTATGATTTATATTTGATTTGCTCAGATATAACAAACAAGATAGTAAAAATAATGAAAGTTACACTATTTGTAATAATCTATTTGAAACCATTCAGTATTCCTCGAACATTTCATTATGGTACGTTAAGTTCAGTTTGGTAATATTCAATATCCAGCAATTTGCCTTAAGGCACGATGCCACACACCCCACTAGTTTGAAATTGAATTCGAAATGAAATGACAATTGTTCATTATGATTTACATTTGATTTGCTCAGATATAACAAACAAGATAGTAAAAATAATGAAAGTTACAGTATTTGTAATAATCTATTTGAAACATTCAGTATTCTTCGAACATTTCATTATGGTACGTTAAGTTCAGTTTGGTAATATTCAATATCCAGCAATTTGCCTTAAGGCACGATGCCACACACCCCACTAGTTTGAAATTGAATTCGAAATGAAATGACAATTGTTCATTATGATTTATATTTGATTTGCTCAGATATAACAAACAAGATAGTAAAAATAATGAAAGTTACACTATTTGTAATAATCTATTTGAAACCATTCAGTATTCCTCGAACATTTCATTATGGTACGTTAAGTTCAGTTTGGTAATATTCAATATCCAGCAATTTGCCTTAAGGCACGATGCCACACACCCCACTAGTTTGAAATTGAATTCGAAATGAAATGACAATTGTTCATTATGATTTACATTTGATTTGCTCAGATATAACAAACAAGATAGTAAAAGTAATGAAAGTTACACTATTTGTAATAATCTATTTGAAACCATTCAGTATTCCTCGAACATTTCATTATGGTACGTTAAGTTCAGTTTGGTAATATTCAATATCCAGCAATTTGCCTTAAGGCACGATGCCACACACCCCACTAGTTTGAATTGAATTCGAAATGAAATGACAATTGTTCATTATGATTTATATTTGATTTGCTCAGATATAACAAACAAGATAGTAAAAATAATGAAAGTTACACTATTTGTAATAATCTATTTGAAACCATTCAGTATTCCTCGAACATTTCATTATGGTACGTTAAGTTCAGTTTGGTAATATTCAATATCCAGCAATTTGCCTTAAGGCACGATGCCACACACCCCACTAGTTTGAAATTGAATTCGAAATGAAATGACAATTGTTCATTATGATTTATATTTGATTTGCTCAGATATAACAAACAAGATAGTAAAAATAATGAAAGTTACACTATTTGTAATAATCTATTTGAAACCATTCAGTATTCCTCGAACATTTCATTATGGTACGTTAAGTTCAGTTTGGTAATATTCAATATCCAGCAATTTGCCTTAAGGCACGATGCCACACACCCCACTAGTTTGAAATTGAATTCGAAATGAAATGACAATTGTTCATTATGATTATATTTGATTTGCTCAGATATAACAAACAAGATAGTAAAAATAATGAAAGTTACACTATTGTATAATCTATTTGAAACCATTCAGTATTCCTCGAACATTTCATTATGGTACGTTAAGTTCAGTTTGGTAATATTCAATATCCAGCAATTTGCCTAAGGCACGATGCCACACACCCCACTAGTTTGAAAATTGAATTCGAAATGAATGACAATTGTTCATTATGATTTACATTTGATTTGCTCAGATATAACAAACAAGATAGTAAAAATAATGAAAGTTACATATTTGTAATAATCTATTTGAAACCATTCAGTATTCCTCGAACATTTCATTATGGTACGTTAAGTTCAGTTTGTAATATTCAATATCCAGCAATTGCATTAAGGCACGATGCCACACCCCCACTAGTTTGAAATTGAATTCGAAATGAAATGACAATGTTCATTATGATTTACATTTGATTTGCTCAGATATAACAAACAAGATAGTAAAAATAATGAAAGTTACACTATTTGTAATAATCTATTTGAAACCATTCAGTATTCCTCGAACATTTCATTATGGTACGTTAAGTTCAGTGGTAATATTCAATATCCAGCAATTTGCCTTAAGGCACGATGCCACACACCCCACTAGTTTGAAATTGAATTCGAAATGAAATGACAATTGTTCATTATGATTTACATTTGATTTGCTCAGATA